AGTTACGTTCAGTTTTCACCTTAACCGCCCCTTCCCTCATCGGTTTATCAGAATGTCAGAAAACCGCACCGTGGGGTGGCAGTTTTCACCTTAACCACGGGGTGGGGTGGCGGTTTATGGGAGAGGGTGGTATTTTTGGATTTTTTGGAAAATGAGAGGTATTTTTTGAATTATTTTTTTGGGTGGTATTTCTGGAAAAAAATTATGTTCTCTTCCACCATCTCAATGTTCTCAACTTCAAAATCCTCTTCAAAACCAACTTCTTCTTCCACTTCTCCTTCGAGAGCAACTTGTGGTTAACCTAGATTCGCCAATCTTTCTCTTGCCTCCAAAGGTGTTTTTGTCTAGTGGCATAGGTGTTGGATCACTCCGGATCATACACCCCCTGCACACACCTCACCAAACACAACACAAGCCAAGGCAAGAAAGATTCACAGTTTCACACTACACAATGTAAGAAATCAAATGTTGGAGTAACAATAAACGACTTTTTCTGAATAATAGACCGTAAACGAATCACTGGAATCAGCGTAAAAAACTTGACTCGAACCTAACTACACAATTCCCAATCGATGGCCAAGTATAACCAACGACCATGTACAGAATGGGGCAAGTGTTAATTTATCAACCCGATCCAGTCTTTGTACCCCTACTTCAATTTTTTTGTATATTATCTAGCAAATGGTTTGTGGTGAAATCTAAGAAACTACAATTGAAAGCAAGCAAGCAAAGTAAAGTTGTGGTGAATTTGATTTGAGAAGACTTTACCCGAATATTGTTCCCCCTAGTCTCGTGTCAAGATCAACGAGTGGAACTCTAGTGTGTGAGTGTGATCATATACCGTGAGAAGGATGCAATTAGTTAGGAGACACACCTCCCTTAATCAATTAACTAAGAAATGTCAAGATAAGCTAGTGAGTAGTCTGGTCCTCTTAATCAATCGACTAAGAATTGCAAAACCAATCCCTTTGAGATTTGTCCTTAATTGCTCTAGAAGGGCTTAGCCAAATTGCCAAAGTGTTGACTATGAGGGAATTTCTGCAAGTGTGGTGGACGAGAGGGAAGTTTCTACTACGAAGGTAGAAAAGAGGGGAAATAAGAGTGAAATAGGGTGTTGGATTTGTATTTTTATATTGGAATCAGATGAATGTAAGATCATGCATAGGTCGCTGCACCTAACCCTAACCTCGTGCCTAATATTGATCAAGCATGACAACGACGATTTAAGGTGATCGCCTGTAACAAAAACGATCAACTGAAAATCGTTAAAATAAAATCACGGTCGAGGACATCGATTTAATATTGATCGCTTTTAGTGGAAGCGATTTAGTTGATCGCTTTCCTCATCAACAATGATATTGTAAATAGTTGTCTTTGTAAGCGGTTAGCACTTTGATCGCTTTCCTTGGAAGCGGTTTAAGTATCATTGCTTCAAAGTAAAGTGATTTACTCATGATCTCCTTTCTCTCCAGGCTCCATCGATGATTCATGTAGATCGCTTGTGACGCAAACGATTTGACGAAAACATGTATCCTTTAGGAGTTTTTAAACAAACGATTGTATTTTGTGATTTTTTTAAGAACTAGTCACGTCACTTAGCCAGATTCCCGTTAGTTGGGAACAAATGGAGTAATGTTAAGCTGAATTTCTGATAGAAACCGACGGTTTCTATAATAATAATTATTATTATCAGGGTTATTATTATTAAGTGATTAAGTCATATTAGGATAGTCTATTAGGTTTTTCTAGTCTTTCGCTATAAATATGTAATTGGTCCTTCATTCATAGGCAGTCAAGAAGAATATTTAGAAAACTCTCCTAAACCCTAATCTCCCAATCCTCTCAATTCTCGTTCCCAATCCCTCTAAAGGCCTAGGCCGATTCTCTATCCTTCTCTCCTCAAATCCCTAATTCTGTTCTTAATCTCTAAATCCCCAATTCCCGATAGAACCCTAATCTCAGGTTCTATCAATTGGTATCAGAGCCTCCAATGAGTTCCGCGAGGCACCGCGGGTCGTGGCGGCGGCCGATGGGACGGCGCTGCTCCAGGAGGACGGCGGCCCGAGGCGGCTGTTGACGAAGGGTGACCGCGGGGCCGCGACTGCTGGGCGATGGAGGATCGGCGGCGGGCATCGCCGAGCGCGGCGGCAAGTGAGCCGCAGCTGCCGACGATGATCGGCGAGGGAGTAGAAGTTCTCACTGTCATCACTCCTACTTCTGCCGCTGCTGTAATCTCAGAGGAAAAGGTGTCGGGTGTGGCGTCGACCATTGCGATGGAGCTGGCTGTTGGGGAGATGGCGACGAGGGCAAGGTCAGAAGTATGTCGATCCCCAGCTCGCTCGCCGGTCGATCCGCCACCAAGGAAGAAGGAGACGAAGGTGAAGAGCTCGGCACCAGAGATGGTGAAGAAGTCGACGGCGGATGCGGGATGGCCTTTGTGCCGCCGGGGGATATGCTTACAGAAGGAAAGAGAGCTGATGACGTACATGGAGTGGAAGAATGGCGACAGTTTTCTTTCATATGGAACCCTAGACCGCACCATCCAGCAGGCCGAATTCGTGGGCCAAGTTAAGTGGGCCGAAAAATCAGATGAGGGACGGGTGGGCCTGATTATAGAGGTGAGCAACTGGAGCTTGGGTTTCGGGATGGGCCAGCCGAACCAGCCTATTGGAGTTGGAAATTTGGCGAATTGGGCTCTATTTGAGCCATGTTTCGGGCCGCGTCTACAGGCTTCAATTGGGCTTCAACTGGGCTGTTTTGTTGAATCTCATAATTATGGAATGGGCTTGAAGGAAAAAGAACAAAAATTCGTAGGCTTAAATGGTGGGTCCAAGGAAGAACAACTTTATGATTCTTACTTTGTGGAGCTTGAAAAAAAGGGCGGAGAGTCCTTTGACTAGGGGTGGGCATCCGGTTCGGTAAACCCGAACCGGACCGAACCGAAACTGAGTTGAACCGAACCGAAACCGAATTTTTGTTATTCGGTTCGGAATTCGGAAGAGAAATATGGGTAATTCGGAAACCAAGGTTCTCTCAACCGAAACCGAGGTTCCGAATTCCGAACCAAAAACCGAAAAATTGCCCCAACAGTTGACATGTCATGAACCCCAAGCCCAAAAGCCCCTTTGCCTATTGAAATCCTAGCCCATTCCCATCCCCCTATTGGCCCATCCCGCAAAGTGCAAACCCTAGCCCAGATCTAACCCACTATCACCCATCCCCGTCTCACAACACAACAGGCGTAGTCGCCGCCGTCAGCCATTCTCCTCCTTCCCCTGCCTCTTGGCTCTCCCTCTTCGACGACCGACGCCATCAAGCCACCACCTCCACCGTCTTCTCCATCATGATCTCCCACCTCCTTCACCGCCGAGTTAACCTTCATCATTGAAGTTATCTCCACCTGAATAAAAAACAGAGGCGATGACACTGAATCTCGAAGGAGAATACAAACCCAAAAAATGTCATGCATGCTTGGATTTGAACTCGTATGAACCTTCGTCATTGAAATTATCACCATCGCCGTCGTCAATCGCTTCCGGCCGCCGTCCTTCGATTGGATTTCTTTACTTCGAACCCTTAAAGATCCGTGTTGCTTCGAGACTGGAGGCGAAAATCTCTACCGACGCTGTCGCGGCAGCTGCGTTGTGCTCGCCGTCGTCGGTCGCCGCCAGCTCGTTAATTGGTTGGAGGGAGAGAGAGGGGGGAAGATCAGAGGATTCAGCTGCATGTGTTGTGCTCGCCATCGCCGGTCGCCGCCGCCGTGTTAGTTGGTTGGAGGGAGAGAGAGGGTGGAAGATCGGAGGAGTCAGGGAGAAGTGAGAGGGCGGAAGAGAGAGAGTCAGGGAGAAGTGAAAAGATAGGGTAGAGAGAGAGAAGGGGCTCGTTTGAGATAAGGCAGCAGGTGAGTCTTTCGGTTTTGGGCAGTCGAACCGAACCGAGCTATACTTCGGTTCGGTTCGACCGAACCGAATTATAGATCGGTTCGAATTCGGTTGGGGTGCTGGGTACTTCGGAAATTCGGCATATCCTTGTTCGGTTCGGTTCAAACCGAACCGACCGAACGCCCACCCCTACCTTTGACCATGGTTGCGGCACTAGTCACGTGGGTAAGGAAGAAGCCATGGGAGCCGAGGTTGCTGGCATGAGATTTGTTCGAGTAGTGGAGCGCGATTGGAAGAAAAGGAAGCGCAAAATACGGAGCAGTCTGGTCACTGATGGTGCCAAAGAGGTGGAAAATTGGGTCAAAACGGTCAACCTTGAGGGCAAGGTTGGTCTCAAGGGGGAGGAGATGATAGAAACCGACGGTTTCTATAATTATTGTTATTATCAGGGTTATTATTATTAAGTGATTAAGTCATATTAGGATAGTCTATTAGGTTTTTCTAGTCTTTCGCTACAAATATGTAATTGGTCCTTCATTCATAGGCAGTCAAGAAGAATATTAAGAAAACTCTCCTAAACCCTAATCTCCCAATCCTCTCAATTCTCGTTCCCAATCCCTCTAAAGGCCTAGGCCGATTCTCTATCCTTCTCTCCTCAAATCCCTAATTCTGTTCTTAATCCCTAAATCCCCAATTCCCGATAGAACCCTAATCTCAGGTTCTATCAATTTCCAAACAGTGATAGACCGATAGTGAATAGTGATCAGCAATCACCTCAACTATTGGTTCGGCCTATGAAAAATAAAAATAAAAATTGCAGCTAGATCTTGATTTCCAGAACCTGAAGAAAACAAGGTACTGCATCCAACTAACAGATATTTCCCAATCAATAAAACCACTTTAGAGGATCACAGTTTTTGCACGACATGCTAAATGCTTTTGGTCCATTCCACAGACAGCAGCTTCGCTTTGGTGGGATCACAGGGAAAGTCTATGTCTTTCTTTCCTCGTCTCTTATCTTATTGTCTCCTGGAATCAGATGTCAATCGACAATGGGTAATAGTCAAGTGGACCACCAGAGAGCATTTTGGGGGGGCTTGTTAAGTCAACGATCTTATCCTAATTTACCTGCTCTAATTAAGAATGAATCCATTACGTTACGGGGCAATAGTAAGTAAGAGCAGCTACCTGACTGCGCTCTGTCTGCAGTCTATGTCCGAAACAGAGCAAGAGCTCAAATTTAAGAAAGCATAACGCACTTGTAATTTTTGATAACCGCCCGGCGAAACCCAACTAAAGCTTTCAAGTCAAACGACACATACATAGCAGCAAATACAGGAAACCCAGCCACAGCAGCAGCAATCAAGGACGGAGACGAAACAAGAAAAAAGGAAGGAAAAACCCTTCTTCACATCAAAGGATTTCCTCCCCCTACTCTTTTGTGTCTTCTACGGAAACAAACCCCTGCCGTGGCTGTTCTTTATTTACACAAACAACAACAACAACTTTCTTATTACTACATAACCATGATCACGAACCAAGAGTCCCTGATTCGTACATGGCAGGCACCGAGCGAGGGTGTTGTAGGGTTTTTGTTTCATTTGCAGCCGCAGTTGTCGCAGGTGCAGTTCGATCCGCACTTGCAGCCGTTCTCCGCACCGAAGTTCATCTCCGAGCCCTCAAATCCCCTGCCCCCAAAAAAAAAACCCACCCAGAAATTCACAATCCGTCAATTAATTTCAACCCATCAAAAGACTAATCAAACAATCTTAGCTTATCAATAACAACTTGGCTATATAGAGAGTGATGAGATAACGTACATGCTGACCGGGGCGACGCCGGCGATGATGGTCTGGGTGGAGGTGGTGGCGGTCTCGATGAGATCGGGGTACATGCTGCAGCCGTTGCAGCCATTGCCGCACTTGCAGCTTGAGCCGCACCCACAGTTTCCTCCGCAGCAAGACATCTTTCTTCTGAGTTTTGGTTGGTTGTTTGGACAAGGGAAAGGGGGGAGAGAGTGTGGGTTTTGAATTGATTGCTCTGTTTTTCAATGTAATGGATGATTTTTCTTTGATCGGTTCCTGACCAGGCTATTTATAGTGGGGAGGGGGCGGAGGGGGAGCTCCGTGCCCGCCGTACACGTGGCACGATGATGGACCCATGGAATCTTTTGCATTTTTTTCTTTCTTTTTTCTTCATTGACGGACGACGTAGACCCATATCAATATGGCATCATATTCATTGGCCCATTGCTCACTCCGCCTTTCTCTTATTTTTTGCTGTCATTTTATTACCTCCCTCAGGTAAAACCTCACGAGTAACTGTCGTAAATTACGTGTCTATCTCTTTTATTATTTATTACTAGTTTTTTTTGTTGCCTGCACTTTGCGCCACGATGGGTACATATATAAAATACTAGCTTATATCCGTCCGTTGGTCGGAATATTTGAGATATCTATTTCGATGATATATCTTGACTAGGGGTGTTCATTCGGATTTGGTTTTTCGGGTTTATCCGAAACCGACCCGATTATATATATTTTTGGTTTTTCTGGTTCGGGTTCGTTTCGGGTTTTAGGTTTTTTGTTTTCGGGTTCGGTTTTGCTTATCGATTTTTCGGATTCCGGCTAAAAACCTCCAATGAATAGAACTCAACCCGTATTCTTAGGCGTTCGGGTTTTTGGGTTTAGGTTTTGCTTTAACCGAACCCGAACCCGATAAGGAATTTTCGGGTTTAGGGTAACCGGAACCCGCAAGTCCTTATCGGTTTCGGGTTCGGTTTTAGTGATTTTCGGTTTTGGGTTTTTGGTTTTTTCGGGTTTCGATTCGGGTAACCGAACCCGACCCGAACTGACACCCTAATCTTGATAAATAGTTAAATACATTTTGTTTGGAATTAATAGTTGACTTTTTATAATCGAGATTGATATTATTAAAACATGATAAATAAAACTCAATTCTTAGTATTAAAGCAATCATATGAATTAATATATTGAGAGTTTAATTTGTATACCTTGAACCTTATTGATGAATGGTGTTCTCACTTATCATAATCAATTCCTTGATGAAAAGTTTTATACTTGATTGGGATTTTTTCCCCTCAATTAATAGGTTTGTACATGATTCCCTTTGGAGTTTGGACAGATAACATGAAGAGTGAATACTTTGAAGTCAGGACATATAGACTGGAAATAAGAACAATGTAAACACCATATAGCAAGGAAGACAGAAGCTCTGGGGAGCTGTCAATTACTATTTTTGAAGAATAGCTTAGATAGAAGGAAAAAGGTTTGCTCTGCTAAATCCACAAATCCCCTCAAATGATACCAAGGTGAGAAAACCAATTCCAATGAATGAAAGCATGGAAGAAAACTAACTGAACTCGAATGAATTTATTTGGCTAAATATGGTTGCATTCACAATTACGCTAATCATTATTAACCACCATCACATGTAGGTGAAGTGTAATTCGTCTCCAAACTATGCAGCATTTTGTGTACTCTCACAATCCACGTCGAATTTTTTACCCCATTAATTATATAAACCCTTTACCCAACACATAAATTCCACTTTGAAACTCATATATCCCCTGAACGGTTTGACACCTCATTCACAAATTATCCAAATTAACTACAATTACACACATGCATGTCTCCATCCCCCTTTTAGTTCCCTCGCTGCTTGCATATATAGCACCAACAACACTACATCTACATGGATCATACTTTGAGCTTTTTAGCGAGCATTCCACTGACTACACTTTCACCCACCTAAGTTGCTTACCTTACAGTTCACAAAGCGGCAGCAGAAACATTAGGTATCACTGCAAGCACGCGGCACAATTCAATAGACAACACATGAATCTGAGTAACATAAGATTAAGAGTTTGCCAGTTTGGTGAACCATGTTTATCAGCATAAACATACATTCAACCATTCTAAGTATTACGTATCATCACAAACGAACAAAAAAGGCATTGTATTATGTTCCATAACAACTCAATAGAGGAATGTATTTAGTCAAAATTTCCCATTAACAAATGCAAACTGAGTACTGACAAAGAGGAACCTAGATTAAGGAGTCTAACAGTCGAGGGATTTCAATTATAAAACTATAGGTTAGATAGAATCATCAACCTCAAGGGAAAAGTCATTGTTGTATTAAGCCCCAAATCTTCTGAAACATACCAAAATGAGAGAAACAAATCACAAACTATGAAGCCTTGAAAATCTATCTGATATCAAATTACTTTATGGGGTTAAATTTGGTTTGTTTCATAAATATGTTATATTATTCATGGAATTGATTGATTCCTGTTGGTTGGTGTAATTAAGGAAACATAATCATCTCACAACAACCATCCCTTTTACTGGTTCTTCCTTCGGCTCTCCACTCTTTCACCTGTAAAGTAAAATTAGTGTTCACCTAGAATCATGGAGTTTTAATGTTTTTCATAAACACCCCATTTGAATTTTTTTTTGGCATGCTGCGTTCTCGCAAAAAAAAAAAAAAAAAACTGAAATAGCCATATAAAGCTTGAAGTAGCAGCACAAAATCAAAATGAAAAATATAGTGACCAAAGTGATTATTAACATCAAACAAAAAACGAACAAAAGCAAGACATTACCAGAAACTCATTTTAATCTATCATACCGCAACACCATAGCAAACTGGCACCTAAGACATTAGCAAATAAATTATGTAATCCACCAGATTAGAATGAAAATGCAAACCATAAACCCAAACGCAATTGATGAGACTCAAATTACAGCAAACAACCAAAAAGAATGGAACAGTTGTAGCAGGATAAAAAGGCAAAGTGGAATGACCTCATCAAATAGAGGTCAAGGTCTCCGCATCAAATTGGTGAAGGCAGCTCTCAGCGAACTGAAGCCACCGGTAGCTGCTCTTTCGCCAGTTTCAAGAGATTGAGTGTTCAAGAATAACGAAAATACATAAGCAAACTCAGTCTACTATTTCTACTCTATACTCATTATTCACACAGAGTTCGAAAACAATATATAGTGGAAGATGTACTTATTTAGCCTAATCTGTCTTTCAAACTGCTTTATTGTCTTTTTTACTGCAGAAGGTTCTTCAGCGGTTCACCTGCACCATGAAAATGATACGGGTGCACTTGTCGACAGCCTGCAATCCCATAGAAAACCAGCATTATCCCTTGAACCTTTTATCCTATCGATCCCTCTCCTTCCAACCTCCAAGGAACAACTTTGAGTCTTTGAGCTGCGTCATGAAAAGGATACTGTTGCTTGTACGTACGCTTTGACCTGTGAACTCACAATGGTAATCATAGACCAACTAACCAGGAGAGAAGCTTAGAGAGTGAGTCCATTATTTGGACAAACCTCATTTTAAAATGTGTATCTTTAATCCAACAACTCTACTCAATTAGTTCTCTTTTCTTTTCAAAGAAGGCAGCTCAAGCCTCAAAGGATACAAAACTACTAATGCTGCTCCAAAGAGAATAATAAAATGTAATGCGTGTTCATTTCTCTTACCACTCTTTGAAGAATAGGCTATAAGGATGAGCAAAAGCAGAATAAGTAAAGGCTCTAAAATGGGTTATTTGTTCTCCAACTTTAATTGTCAGATAGAACTAAAATCTGATATAGATCTTGAAATTGTCATTGAAAAGACAAACAAAAAGAATCACCATTTTCATCAGCTATGATCTTCGATTTCCTCCTTTCATCAAGATGCAACACAGCAAGACTCTGTTAGCATATTTAAAAAAAACATGATGAATAAATACGGCATAAACGATTTTAGTTAGGTACTCATCTTCCCAATGATCAGGAAACCATAAGCCAAATTCCCATCTTGAGGCTGCTTTGAAACAGTCATAGTTCTGAGTTCTGACAGCTATCTCACCGTCGGAGGCCTCATCTACAACAAAACTTACCAGAAATTAGTTGCCAACAATCACGATAAGCCCTGGTGATTTTCATGGAATCTAACACTCCTTCATCACAACACGAATCTCCATTGCTGGTCCAATGGGTTCATCACCCACCACTACTAACAGCTTCCTAAAAAGAGGCTAAATAATGTCATATGTGGAGGAAAATAGAGAGAACCCAAAGAAACTTAGCTAACAGTAGAGTAAACTGGCAAGAATAAAAGAATGGAAATCTACAAACTCAATCACAAAATAATTGGAGGGACCACTGCTTATAGGGCTTATGGTTCCTTTTCTATTTGTTTGATTTGGGTTCGTCGCCTCCACCATGAATCTCCAACGAAAATATGTGTTGTTTGAACCTGAAGCACCCATTCTCCCCCTAAATGATATATGGGAGAAAGAAGGGGAAGACCGTGAGATACTCTCTGTGAGTAAAAAAAAAAATCGAGATGACATACTTAAGGAATTCCTCGGGCCTAATTCGGATCCACAACTTCATATTCTCTATTTCCTTGGAAAGATCCATCTTCTTCATCCACAATCAGCAAGCCTTACAGCCACAAAGAGAGTCCTTCCCAAGGAGAATACTTGGTATGCATCACCTGATCGCTACTGTCAGATCCCCGTGGAATCCAATGAATCAGAATGAAAACTTAAATAAAAAACTAAGTAAACAGAGAGATAAACACATGTGTTTCTAACTTTCTATAGTTCAAAACTTTTCTCACCATCGAAGAGAGGAATTTGACAATCCGCCTATCACCATGGGACGAACACCTTTATGGTGTCTCTTCTCTCCTCTTCTTCCTTATTACTTCCAACGCCACATTGCCCACTTCTTCTTCCCCTAAACCGCCGCGCCACCATTCTCAATCTTCCGCTTACCCCGATTCCACCGCCGCTGGACAAAAGTAACTTCAACTCCGTCCTTGTCTCCCTCCTCGACTCCCACTACACCGAGCTCGGTGACCTTGTCGAGAAAGCACTCCCCACGCTCTAGAGTAATCCGTCGGCAACCACACATAACCACCCCACATAATGGAGCCCTCGAGCGTCGCCTCAACTCCGAGTTCAAGCGCTTCCTCCTAAAGCCTCGCAACCTCCACTCCCTCCGCAGAACAACCTTCGTTGGCAGTGACGGAAGATGATTTCAGCCGCAAAAAAAGTAGTGGGAACCGACGTTTTCTTATCTCTCCTGTCAGGCGGGGATTTCTAATTTAATCCCGTGTAACCAC